GGGGCAGCCCGGACCCTGCGGAGTCCTCCCGGCCCCCCGTTACCCGGGGGTGCCTGGGCACCGCTGTTCCCGTCCCTGCCCTGCCCCGGGGCCGCCCAGGCCTGTCTGGGTCGCTGCGACTTCAGCCCAAGTGATTTTTCTAGAATCAAATAATCAGCAGAGATCTGCCTCGCTCGGAGCTGTTGTCACCCAGCAGGGATGACATTAATCCTGTGTTAAAGGGAACGTGCGGGACCTGCTCTCCTGCCTCCTGCTCCCCCAGTTGAACTGGGCACACGGGTGACGTGAGTTGTTTGGGCATTCAGGTCCCTGTCGGGAAATGAGACCCGAGCACAGAACTGGGCTGCTGGCACCCACCAGAGATGCAGCAGCTTAACCCTGTCATTAAACCGTGCCGCGTTGTCTCCGGTATGTGTTGGAAAATAGCTGTTACTGAGCCTCAGGGACAAATTTCAGGGCTGGTTAATCTCTGGGAAGAGGCTGACTCAAAATACAAGATAACAAAAGCCTTGCAGCAAAACATCTGTCTAAAGCTCCAACCCTGAGGTGACTCAGCTCAGGGGGGATCTTGGGGCATGGACACCTCTGCTGGGGGCTGGCAGACGGCCTTGCAGGTCCACCAGCACCCAGGGTGCTGCACTGGGTGCTTTCCAGCCAGTGTGGGGGCCCTTTTGTCACCGGTACCAAAAAGCCACCGGGTTAGTGTGGAAGAGGGGCTGTGGGGTAGGTAGAAGGACGGAGCCCCCTCATCAGATGTACTTGGTGATGGTTGGGGTCATGTTCTCTGCTACACCTTGTGATCTGAGCTGGCGGTAACAGGTACAGCATCATCCTGTGCATGGAAGAGCCTGGAACAGACTGTTTCTGACTTTGGGCTCTTGGTGCAACCCTCCCTCCTGCTCTGTATTTCCCCCAGCAGCAGGCGAGCGATGCGTGTCCCTGCTGAGCTGCTGGGCTCACCTGGCCTTTCTGTCCTCGTCCCTTAACCGTGACTTCCTTCTCCTGCAGCACCACAATGGGGCTCGAGTGGACATCTATGAGAAGCTGCCTGTTCCTTTTGGGCTCGTCCGTTTTGGGGTGGCCCCAGACCACCCCGAAGTGAAGGTTGGTGCTGGCTCCCTCCCCTTCCTATGCGGTTGAACACGATGATGGTGGTGGGTGCAGGCGAGGCAGTCGCCATCCTTCATGGTGTGGAGCTGTCACACAGATCTGCTGAGAGGAGTGATGGAGTTGAGCTGTAGGCACTGCACAAGAAGTTAAACCAAGGACCTCTTTGACATCAACCGTTTTCCTTTGTCTCGCAGTGGTGTGAGTTGTACCCAGGGGTATCGGCTGTGCCAGAGCTGGGGTGGAGGTGGTTGCAGTGGGAGGACGCAGGAGATCCAGACACAGCGATATCTTGTGATGGTTTCCCCATTTAACCCGTGGAGATCATCAGACCAAAATGCCTGCATCCCTTTGAGCTGAGAGATGAGGAGTGGACGTAACGGATGTTGGTTAGGGGGAGCTTCCACAGCATGGTAGTATCTGTGTCCAGGCAGAGCCCAGCTGGAGCTCCAGGGGAAGAAGCAGTTGTTTTGCTGCGTAGCCCCGATCACTCAGAAGAAAAGGCTTTGGGCACCATCCTGCCCTGCATCCTCTCTTGATGAAGTGGGTTTTGGGAAGGGGTGAGATGAGAGGCTGGCAGAGGGGGTCTGGCAGGCAGCACCCTCGATGGAAGGGGTGGTTTGGCGGGGCTCCCTTGCAAACCTCACCTTTGGGAAGGAGTTTTCTCCTACAAGGGGATTTACGCAGAGGGGCTGAAGGTATTGAAAGGGTCCTGTCCTCCCCGGGTCGGTGTAAAAGAGGGATCTTCCTTTCCGTAAAGGGTGGCAGAAAGAGTGCCCAGTCACAGCTGTGCTTATCTCCACATGAATTATCTGCGGCTGTTGTTAGATAAGAGTCTCAGAATAACTGACCCAGAGGCGGGGAGAAGCATCTCAAGGCTGGGGGTGACGGGAACGGGGACCTCCTGTCAGCAGCAGACCTTGGCCCCGGCTGTGGCTTGGCTGTAACTCCCCGGCGCTTGTTTGATCTTGGCAGAACGTGATCAACGCCTTCACGCAGACGGCACGCTTGGAGCGCTGTGCCTACTATGGAAACATCACCGTGGGGAGGGATGTCACGGTGGCAGAGCTGCAGCAGGCTTACCACGCCGTGGTGCTGGTGGGTACTGTGCCTTGGAGCCAGGACTGCCCTGGCTCCCCAGAAGTCACGGGGAAAGTCTGCTGGGTTATTCCCCACTGGGATCTCAGGAAGAGGGTTTGGGCGAGATGTTTCTGGGTGACCTATTACTGTGGTAAACTCTCCCCATCCTCGGGACAGCTCAGATGGCACGAGGCTTGTCCGGAGCCTTGCAGAGAGCTTGTGCTGGAGCGTGGCATCGAATGCAGGTCTCAAACCCTGCTGCAAGGGGCAGCGGCTGAGGAACCTTTTCCCTGTGATGGCCAATACCTATTTCAGCCTGACATGGATTTGTCCCTCCTGTTCAGTCCTCAGCTCGTGCTCTGCCCTGGCCCTAGGAGGTCAGGTTTGGCTCTGGAGCCCAGGGGGATGGGGTGGATAAAGCCCCTGTGCTCAGGTTGTGTTTAGCCCCTCCACTGAGTATCCCAGCCCTCAGGAAGGGTTGGCAGCCGTGCAGGGTCCTTGGCAGCAGCTGGAAAAGGAGATTTGTGTTTTGGTATCAAACCCTGCACACAATGACATCTCTGCGTCTGTTCCCTCCTCAGAGTTACGGTGCTGAAGATAACCGGGTCCTGGGGATCCCAGGAGAGAACCTCTCCGGCGTTTATTCAGCCCGAGCGTTCGTAGGCTGGTACAACGGGCTGCCTGAGAACCGGGATGTGAGTACGGCAGTGTTTCCCTGTCCTTCCTCCCCATCCTGCATCTGAACGCAGGCATTCAGCTCCAGATTACGTCCTGAAAGGCCCGCAATTGGAAAAGATTAGCAGGCACCACGTTAAATCCTTCTTAGATGGTAGAAATGTGAACAATTTGCACATCAGTGAGAGCGGATTAGCTGGCTCTGTAGGTTGGCAGCACGTTTTGGCCGGGCCAGATGGGAACCTGGGGGGGTGATGCTGCTCTGCTTTGACCTGAGGAGGCTTTTTGGCCAAAACAGCTCCTGTTCCCAGAGATGCCATTGCAGGAAGAGGGGGAGAGGGATCGGCTGGGGTGCCCGGAGCAGCTGTGTTGATGTGTCTGGGGTGGAGTTTCCCCCATCTGCATCAAGTCTTTTTGGGGAAAAGAGGGGTAGAAGGGAATTTGGGTGGTGGGAATGGATCTGAGGGACTGAACATCATGGAGGCTGTGTGGATTTGCTCACAGCTGGGTCTTTCTCTCCCTGCAGCTGAAGCCTGACCTAAGCTGTGAGACGGCACTGATTGTGGGTCACGGCAATGTGGCGCTGGATATTGCCCGGATCCTCTTGTCCCCGCTGAGTCTCCTCAGGGTGAGTCGCGGGGGTGCTCCTTGCCACGAAGGCAGCTTGGGGCTCAAATTCACCCCATGCTGCATGAGTTCTGGTTCCCACCCATCTCAGCAAAACCTCAGACGCTGCTGTCTTTGGGATTTTTCCCCAGGGATGGCTGTTGCCCCTTGGGTGCACCCTATGGAATCATAGTCCATAGGGAGTGATCCTCGGCCGTGCCTTGGGTAACGCTGCAGAGCTCTCTGGGTTCCTCTGCAGGTACCTAAAAGGTTGGCAACTGAGCTTTATCCCTTCCTTTCCTATGAGAAACAAAGGAGGAGCTGCTCACTCTTTTCTACCACCAAACTGGAAGCTTCTTCTGTTGGGGTTTTTATTTCTGCTGTAGCTGAGGGCAGCAGCCTGGTTCCTGCTGGTAGCACTGGGCATGCTGGTTGCTGGTCCAAGCTGGTGGACCTCTCCTTCCACTGCCGCGCTCCCCTGTGGACAGCTGGGAGCTGGTGTGCACCAGCTGCTCTGTACAGCTGTTGCCCCAGATGTTGGCAGCAAAGGCTTTCCCTCCTGGAGAACTGCCATGAGGTTCGTTACAGCTGTGCAACAACTTCCTGTATTAATATCTAAATTAAATAAAAAAAAGTTGGAGGCTCTGCCAACCAGTGGCTAAAGCCAGCTGGGAAGCAGTGCTGCGAAGGGCACAGCACTGGAAATGAGTGCCAGGGTGTACAGGCAGTTTCCTGTTAAGAATATTGGTCTGGAATGGTTTATCCTGGTTATTTGGTGTCCCTCCCATCATGTCTTCTCTGGAAAAGATCTTCTTGAGACCTAGATACATGCATACAATTGAAACAGAGCACGGAGTTGCTGCAAGATGCCAACCATCAGTCGAGGCCTGGAGATGCTTGTGTTTGTGCTCAGAGCTGCCTGCAGCGGGCAGGCAGTGATTTGAGCTGTGGTTTGCAGTGGGTTTCACCCAATTCCCTGTATATCCTGACCTGGGAAGTCACCCAACAGCATCTGCAGGCACCCCAAAATCGAGATTGCTGGAAGGCTTTGCTCCATTAGCCCCAAGGTTAACCTGCTTGGGCCGATCCCCCGAGGCAATCTCACGGGTGCTGGCTCGTTACCTCCAGTGCATTATGGAAAGTACATTCAGTGATGAGGGACCAGCTGCGCAAATAGCTCTGTACAAAGGGAGATGACTTGTTTTCCATCCTCGCCCAGGCTCTCTGCATGCACAGCCGGCTTTTCTGCTGATTTTTCACCTTCAGAGGCTGTGCCTTCCCCCCAGCTCCCTCCAGATCTGCCCTCGTCCCACTCTCCTGTCTCTGTCTTGCAGAAGACAGACATCACTGACGGCTCCCTGGCAGCTCTCGCCTGCAGCAAGGTGAAGCGCGTCTGGCTGGTTGGGAGGAGGGGACCTCTCCAAGTTGCTTTCACTATTAAGGTAAGGCTGGGGGTGCTGGAGGGCAGCCGTGTTTCCCAGCGTTGAGCCCCAGGCTGCCCATCCCTGGTGCAGAGAGGTGGTCTAAGGATGGGTGGGGAACCCAGACGTCCTCCTTCCTGCACCCATTTGCTGGCTCCTAGCCTGGACTGCTGGGGGAAGAGGGCATGGGGCTGTTGGACAACCTCTCTGTGCTGGAGGTAACTTCTTCCTGCCTGCAATTCCCAGGAGCTGCGGGAGATGATAAACCTGCCTGGTGCCAGACCCGTCCTGAACCCTGCTGACTTCACAGGCCTTGAAAATGCTATTAAAGGTGAGGGAAATGTGCCGTGCTCCTCCAAGACAGGGACTCACCCTGACAGGCGAGTGTCCAGGAATGATCTGGAGATGCTCAGAATGAGTATCAGAGAAACTCTTTGCCCTGTGCTTAATGCACGGTGTGTGAAAGCCAGGTGACCATGATGTGGCTCATCCTCAGAGTGCTAGGAGGCCGTAAAGACAAGGGGACAGCCTGTTCCTCTGTTTGTGCAGAGTGATGGGAGTGATGCTCACTCTCTGAGTGATGAGGGCAGGAGATTTGGGAGGGCTGGGGAAACCTTGCAGGAGAGATCCCAAGGCTGTTGATTTAAGATCTTCCTGCAGAGCTGAAAAGAAAACATTGAGTGCAAGGGTGTCCAGAGACTTGCTCTTCTCCACAGGCTGCTGCCTTTGAGCACCAGCACGACAGCAAAATCGCAGGCTTTGATTTGTGTGTCCCACTGGCCTCAAGCCTCAGGAGCTCTCCTGGTCGCTTTGACTTGCAGTTTGTCATCTTAAAGGTGTTGGACTCCAGTCAGCATGACAAACTCCAAATGGACACTCGCATACCACTGAAGCTGCCTTGACGTGGCCTTGGCTCCCTGCCATGTCCCAAGGGGCTTTTGCTGAAGGCTCCTGTCCTGAAACTCTCTCTTTCTTCCTAGATGCCCCCAGGCCCAGGAAACGATTGACTGAGCTGATGATCAAAACAGCCCTGGAGAAGCCTGGGGAGAAGACAGTGGAGGTGCAGGCAGCAGCTACACAGGCAGCAGCCCCCCGGGAGTGGGGGCTGAAGTTCCAGCGCAGCCCCCAGGAGGTCGTGCCCACCGCTGACGGGCAGCGGGTGAGGGGCATCCGCATGGCCCTGACCCGCCTGGAGGTATGGGCTGGGGGGGGCTGGTATGGCCCTAGCAGGGCTGGGGATGGGGCAGGATGTCCTGCAGCCCTTGGGAATCTCTCCTAAACCAGCTTTGCGTTCCCTGGCTGGTTGGAGTGGCCACTAGCAGGCTCTGGGGGAAGTCGGTGCCACTGACAAGAGCCTTTCTCCATCTAAAGGGAGCTCTTTCCATGTTGATGCTGCTGCGGAAAGGCCTTTAGCAAATACTCAGGGATCAAGGGGACCGGAGGAGGCTGCTGCTCTGCATCCGGTGACTGTCTGGTGTCAGCAGCTCTTCCTCCCTCTCTCAGGGCTCAGGTGACTCTGCCAAAGCTGTCCCCACTGGAGACGTGGAGGAGCTGGAATGTGGGCTGGTGCTCAGCAGCATTGGCTACCGGAGCCTGTCCCTGGACCCATCGGTACCCTTCGACACCCAGCGTGGCATTATCCCCAACAGCTCGGGCAGAGTGGAGGGTGTCCCAGGTCTGTATCTGCAGGGGGATGCGTGGGACGTGTCAAGTGCAGCTGGTGGGCTGGGGGCTTTGTGGGGGGAAACTCCCCTCACCAGGGGCACTGATACGGGGTGGTTGAACGCTGCAGTCAGAGAGTGGAAACTGAGGAAATGAGCCACCTCTGTCAGGCGTAAAGACCTGGCCTGTCCCCAGCTCGCGTTGGGGGCGGCTGGTGTTGCAGCAAAGGGCACTGAAGGTTTTGGTGGTTTTACTGGGCCGTGGGGTTTGTTACTAACGCGATACAGCCCACGCGGCTGCTTAGTGCCAGTCTGCTGGTACGCAAATTCCTGTGACAGCACCATTGAAGGGCCACGCTGTGCCACCACAGGGGTGGATTCTTCCACCGCCCACAGCTTGATGTGACACCCAGGGACAGGGCAGGGACTTGCAGCCAGGAGGGTCCGAGCCTGGCTGCTCTGTGTGCCCGTGCAGGTCTGTACTGCAGCGGGTGGGTGAAGAGAGGACCCACAGGCGTGATCATCACCACCATGAACGACAGCTTTGACACTGCCCAGTCTGTGCTGGAGGATCTCCAGGTGGGCGTGCTGGACGTGTCCGCCTCCAGAGAAGGCTTTGGGGCCGTAGGGAGCATCCTGCGCAGCCGAGGTCAGTGCGGGGGGGGTGTGAGCTGCTGTGGCAGCCAGCGTGGAGGTATCAAGCAGCCAAACTCCTGCTGGATCTGGGTATCCTGGAGCAGCGAGTCCTGCAAGCCACTTTTGGGAGCAGGGTCTGAACTGTGGAAATGTTTTGTGCTGCCACTTTGTTGCTCCAAAGCCCAGTAAGAGCGGGACTTGAATTCTCTCAAACTTGGTGTCATTGCTAAGGTTAATGACCGCTTTCTGGAAAGGGCCATTAAAAGCAGCACAGACCTGGGGTAAAACGTCACTGTCAGCTGCCTGGACAGCGAGCTATTGCTCTTGAGTGGTTTTCCTGGTAAGCCTTCCAGGCGAGTTGGGGGAAGGATTAAAATGCCCAGGAGAGTCATTTGCTGTTGCTGTGTTTAAAGGCATTCAATTAAAGTGCGTGTGTTTTGCCTCTTAACTGTCTGAGGTTTAACAGTGAACTGGAAGTGTTTTGTCCCTCAAGGCAATGGCTTGCAAAGGTCTGGCTGATCCGAGTCGACTGAAACCTGCCATCCCTCTCCTCACGGTGTTAGAAATTATTATTCCTTTGTGAGGCTGAAGTCTGACGCCGTGTCAGAAAAGGGCATGGCTTGCTCGCACATCAGGTCCCCGCTAACGGGGAGGTGAGGCTGAACTCATTTTTCACTTGATTAACTTCTCCCTCCCATCTCTTGCCATCACCCCAGGGGTCCGTCCTGTTTCCTTCTCGGACTGGGAGAAGATAGATGCTGCTGAAGTGGCAAGAGGCAAAGCTGCTGGCAAACCCCGGGAGAAGATCGTGGATCCTCAGGAGATGCTGCAGTTGATCGGTCACTAAAGCAGCAGCAATGGGAATGTGGCACTGGTCCAGCCGGACTGTCTGGGGGCAATGCCAGTGGCTTACAGGCAGGGCTTGGGGGCTCAGGGCTAGTGTGTGGGGCTAGTGGCCACTCTGGGGAGGCGTGTGGCACTTGAGCCTCTCTAGTAACGATGAACTCCGGGTTCCTAAAGTGAGCGTTTCAAAACGTCTGAGGCTGCGGGCTGGCCTTGCATCTCTGCAGCCAGCTGCTGCCCCAGGGTGATTCTTGTCATTTGGGTCCTTGGAGCGTTAACGAGCTGGCCGGAGCGGGTGAGGGGAGATGCGCACCTGGAGGAGGCCTGGCCAGACGCTTCCCCCATGGCGAGTCACAGAGATGAACTTCCTCGTGTCTTGCGGCTTCCTCTTTAAGCCTTGAGCCAAATGGCTTCGTCGCCTTGTCATTCGTGCCCGAGTAGGCTTCTTTTAATAATAATTGTTTTTTAAATAAACCCTTCCAGGAAAGCCAAATTGGACCTGCCGCTTGAGTCTGGCTTCTTTGTCTGTGACTGCCTTAATCTCGGAGCAGCCAGCCGAGCGCCGCGTCTCCTGTGACATGTCCCAAGGCAAGGCAGCTCCTCTCGTGCAGGGAGGGACCGTTTGCTCTCCGCTCGTTGTGAGCTCTAAACAAACAGACAAGGGCATTAATTTGCTTTCTGCATCCCACGATTAAACCCCGGCAGAGCCCGGGTCCTAGCTCGTGGGGTGAATTGGAATAACAAGCTTGTAATTGCCTTGTTCTGGATCACGAGGGATCCTGTGTTCGTTGGTACCTGCCAGCGCTGACTGGTGCAAGCAATGCCTTGAGCGTTTCACTTCATCCACTGGTGGGTTGTTTGGGATTTTTTTGACCTGTGTCTTTTGAAGCTTATTAAATGCTTCTCTTAGCCCAAATTGACTATGGTGACGGTGTCAGGTTTTAAGCCAGATTACAAGCTGTGAGCCATAATCTCCTCTTTATCCGTGGCGCAGGGGCTGCGTCAGCGTGGCCCCCTCCCCTGGCCATCCTGCCACCCACGCTGGCCCCGATCCCTCGCACTCCCCGTGGCAATGCTGCAGGATTGCAACCGCTCCTCCCTGACCCGTGTGAACGGTGACAGTGGCAGTTGCTGGTGGCTGTGTGTTAGAAACAAATCCAGCTCTGTGATGGAGGCAGAGGGTAAATCAAGCCAGTGCAGCCGGCAGGGGTTTGTCTCAGGTCCACGCTCCACCTCCGTGTCTGCCGAGCCCTCTCCCGTGGTAGAGGACTTGCCCACGGGGCACTGTACTCCCATCCCATCTCTGGTCCAACCGTACGGAAGGAAGGTCTGTGGCTTCTCTCTCTTTTTTTTTTTTTTTCTTTTTCTTTTTTTTCCCCTTCCTTTTCTATTTAAATCTCATTTGCAAGCTCATTAAGAAACTCAGGAAATGTGATACTGGGAACTCGTACGCAAACGAGCAATAAAGCTTTTGTCGAACAGCTGCTCGTGTGATGTGGCTCTCGTTACGTCTCGCGGCTGATGCAGTCCTAATGCTGAACTCTTGAGTGGGAGATTACATCAGCTCTGGGTTTGGAGGCAAATAAGCGCTTTGGAAAGCGGGGGTGTGGAGGCGAGAGGGTTGCGTTTGGGGTGTGGAGCAGCCGTTTTGGTAGATAGCCCAGCCAGAAACGTGACGGTGAAGGGGTTGTTGTGGCTGCATCCAATCTGCAGGTATGGGGAAGAGATGAGCTGGCTCTTCCCTGGGGTTTTCTTCTACATCGCCTTGAATGTTGATGTCAGGGTGCTTTTGTAGCCATGATGCAGGCCACCGGGCTTATGCTGAGCACGTCAAAGGACTGTTCCCAAACCGGTGATGCTTCAGGGCAGTTTTTGGGCTGTGTCAACAGATTAAGGGGAGCATCTTTCTTCACTGAGCCCTGTGTCCTTGCTCAACCCAGAACTTGGCCAAGGCCCTGGGGTTAATGCCGGGCTGCGGGAAAGCCAGGGGATGATCAAGGTCAGCGAAGGGCAGGGATGGAGGACTGAGCCTCGTGGGCAGAGGCAGAATCATTACAATTATGTAAATCCTTACTCAATACCTCCAGCTCCCCCTTCTGCTGCCACCTGCATCCCCAAGCCCCAGCCAGGTGTCCTGCTGCCTCCCCATCTCTGTCCGGTGCTCTCCATCCTTCTCTCCAGGAACCGGGATGTGTCCGGCTTCCCCGTGAAGGTCCTTGTCCCCGGTCGCCATGTCGTTAGGTGGCGCTGGGAGGCCGGTAACGGGGAGCAGAGAGGGGCTGAGCAGGGATGGAGGGGTGACCCGGCACTCCCGGGGCTTGGCGGGGTG